TGACTAAAAATATTTGAAAATGTAATACAAGGCTCCTACTATATTGAAAAAATGACATTTCAAAAATATTAAAAAATGTAATCACATTTTTTTTTATAAGCATTTAAAGTTCGAATCTTGACAAAATACTGAAAAATTACGAAAATTAGCAAATTATTTTGAGTTAAGAATTCGCAAAATTTTTTCTTTTTAAATCTAAGATATTAAAATGTAGCACAAGCTTCCTTATAAGATTATCTACCTTAATGAAAAAAAAAAATTTCCATAGAAAGTCAAGCTAAATTTTTATGAGCGTTTGAAATTCAAAATTTTTACAACATTGGATATTCACTCGATTTCTCATGTAGCGATGCACAATTTTTTTTTTATAAGCATTTAAAGATCAAATTTTGACAAATTTAAAACTGAATAATTATTTTGTAGTTAAAAATGTATAAAATGTTTAACTTTTATATCTAAGGATTGAAAATTTATAAAAAGATTCCACGTAAGTAGCTAATTCTGTTAATAAAAAATCTAAAAAATAAATAAGTACAGTTTATCTCTATAGACATTTTAAGTTCAAATTTGGACGAAATTACATAAAAAAAAACCTAGAATAACTATTTTAGTTATTTCGTTGTGATTATGTAATATTATTCGTGGGTACTTGAAACTTCTAAAGTACACTACTATATATCTATGATAGTATCAGGGTTTGTTGTTGATGTACAACGCGTTATAAGTACCTAATGTATATTGTGATATGATTAATTTGGAATTTGTAATAGGTACCAGGTTATAGGTCAATTTTTTTTATATCATAGATAAGTATATAATATGTCTTATACCTAGACTGGCATACCGTCTCCGCTCAGAATCGTTATACTTATACAATGATTTTATATAATTGGATTCAAATTTAATACCATCCATTATACAGTGACCCACTTGTAACCTACTGTACAGCAGACCACCTTTTTTTAGTTTTTTTTCTATAAATATCATTAAAATTTTATTTGTTTGGTAAAAAAGTGTGAAAATTTAATGCAAGCCTCCTGATATATTGTAACAATGGCATTTGAAAAATATTAAGAATACATAGGCACAATTTTATTTGTATAAGCATTTAAAGTTCGAAATTTGACATAATTTATCAAATTTAAAATTTAATAATTATTTTGTAGTTAAAAATGTATAAAATGTTCAACTTTTATAGCTAAGAATTGAAAATTTAAAACAAGGGTCCACGTAAATAGGTAAATATATAAATTACTTTATTCACAATATACTTAGTAATATCATAGGCTGACTGACCGTTTTCGCTCAGAATCGTTTTTCTTATGCAATGATATTATATCAATGAATTCAAATTTAACACCATCCATTACAGTGCCCTATCTGTAACCTACTGTACAGCAGAGTGACATTCACCTTCTTCCCACTTTTTTAAATTAAATTAATTTACCTAACTTATTAATTGAATTTAAGTTTACAATATTTGTTAACTTATTTTAAACTTAATTGATGTATTGGAAATGTCTATTAACTTAACTTTTAATTTAGTTGAAAAAAAAATTTAATTTAACTTAGCTGAGTTTAAAAATTTCTTTAACTTGCCAAGCATTAAGAAATCTAAAAAAAAGACCATTCAAATATACGATAACCGATAAGTTCCATATTTTGGCAACTCTAATCTCGAGTACAATTTTTATTATCAAGAGCTTATAGTCATTGCAATATATGTACATGCGCTATTCGTTCAAACTACTTTTCTTCAAGTATTGATATACATTATTTAAAACAGTTTATGGCCCGAATTATGACTGTAAAAAAATGTAAATATCATAAATACACAAATGAAATAATAAAAGACAAGATTAAAAAATAGTAACATTATTTTGTTGAGATAATAAATCTAAATGAATAATAAAAATATATTAAATTAATACACTTATAATGCACATAAAAGTATAAAATATAATATTATATACCTGTTTAGAATCATTTAAATTATTGACAAATATTAAGTGCGCACATTAGGCTACTATGGCTGTACTATTGCTGTTATGGTAAAAAATAAAAATCGTATATTTTAAATTTTTCTGTCGTTTAATGTAAAAATTCTATAGCTAAATTGACATATTTACGACACAGTAAGGTCATAATAAATCTGCTAAATGTTTTTCTTCAATTTCAAAAAAAAAAACATTCCTTTATGAAATGTATTTAAAAATGTATGGTTTAGGACTTTGGGTGTATCTTAGGTAATTGCATATCTAGGACGCCGTATTACCATGATTTTATGATTAAAATGCACGAAAAATATACGTCAGTCGTAAGTAGGTAATATAATTTATTATACTGGACAATTGTATATTATGTAATAAAATTAATTCATTATATCATGTATTTTATGTAATATTAAACATATCATTCAATATTAATAATATTACTTTATCAATATCAAAAAATCATATTAAATAAATGTCATAACCATGAATGCTCAAAAAAATGGAAATTAATTCAGTTAAATACTGAGTTAAAGATAAATGCTCAGTTTTTAATTCAGTTAAAATTAAATGCAATGTTTATTTATGTACATTTAATTTTTATATTTATAAAATTGTGATGTTCAAACTTACTTTCACCACAGCCAAGTAGTCCTTAAACTGTTAAGTGCATAAACCAATTGCTATCATTTCTGTTTCACCAGTAAGTAAACTATCATCATTAGACCATATTTATAGCCAGATGTTCAATGAAATAAAAAATCCTTGGTACATAAAAGTTAGTAAAACTGAAGATATGCAAAAAATAGTTCCAGATAACTCAATAAGCTGAATGTAAATGTCTCATTAAAATCCAACTAAAAAAAAATATACAATTATATATATTTGGATTTATATATTTATTTAAAAACCTAACAATCCATTACCGGTTTCTGCTTTCTTTAATTCAATAAGTTTTGCATTTTTTTCCACCATCACGGAAAAAAATAACTTTACCATAGTAAATGATTAAGAATATTATAGTCTATATTTTGTTAAAACTTAAGGTCTTTTGATCTAGAATTGATGGCAATAGCGAGGAGTTTTAATGAGCGATAATACAGACGTATTTAAAGAAAAAAAAACCACGCTTTCTACAACACCACCTGTGAATACACGAGTATTATTATTGAAGTATGTCGTCGACAAATGACAATGTTTGTAAGTCTTTCAAAATCAATCACTTTAATATAATACTATTTAGGTATAAAACTGTGATTATTCTTGTAAAACATAATTGTATTCGATAACTTTGTCTTTTGCGAGTTTGGGCGTTTAGACTGCTCCGATAATCAAACAATGTTTAAGTGAACATGGGTGTTAAGGGTAGACCAAAAATATCTTAACCCTCCACATAAACAGGTGTTCGGTGTTTTATCAGTATCGGCAAAGGCGGGAACACCGAAATGCATATTATATTGTTATAAACTTATAAACAATATTATAACGACAAGAAACAATAAACCATCAAGGGCTTTGCTTCAGTTATAAAAATAATACCCTGTAAAACATCTCATAAAATACATTTTTCCAAACACGTAATTGAATGTGTTTTCAGTGCCTTGATTCGCCCCACAGGTGGCCGGCGTCAGCAACCTGGATGACGCGTTGGTGCAAGCAATCGCCAAAGGGTTTCCGGCAGGCCTTGCTGTACAGAGTGGCAGGAGTGGAGGGCAGTCTGGGCAACGTCAAGGAGCTGCATGCCGCAGGACGCATGGAAGGCAGCCGTCGAGTACGGAGTCAAGGACCTGCCGATGAGCCGTGAGGACACAGACGGATGCAGTTCTTACTCGTGGCAGAGATAGTTTCCGTTCATGGACTGTGAGGTGGCGGCCTCCGAGATATGAAACGCTATTCAACTAATCTACCACAATCACAACTGCATGCGGTGACCAATCGTCGAGCGCACAATAACATACAAATTAAGAAGCGGGTAAGTGCAGCGAGGTGGAGTATGTTGGAAGTTTGTCCATCGTTCCTTCGGTCAGGATAGTGCATTATTACAGTATTCGATTTGAGTGCAATTATTGCATTCGATAAAAACGATTCTGGAGGAGGATCAGTGTAACAATTAGTAATTATACTATACAATATATACATATATAGCAATTATACTCCGGCCCACGAGAGAGTATTACCGTCGCCCGACGAAAACTCGTCCGATTCCGCGCATTCCCCACTACTCGGCATGCCGACAACTTGTTCGGTACCGGTCGGCAGCGCTCAACGCTATACGGTGTATAGCGGTCGCGGAAATAGTGGGGGAAATGGGGCCTCGGAACGGTCTCCGCCGTCAGTCTGCATGCGCAAAACGGTAATACTCTCTCGTGGGTCGGAGTATAGTATGTTTAATAAATAATATTATATGATTTAAAATTCGATTCATACCTAGGCTATAGTTAATGTTTATATTCAATAGACAATA